GAGGATTTTCCAAATGGATTCGAGGGAGGGATGATAATGTCATAACCAGCGGTGTACAATTTGTGTGTGTGTGTGGGGGGGGGGGGGGGGGGGGGGGGTCTTTGTAAATCCAGATTAGAACTGGTCTGATGCGTGTTTCCTTCTGTACAGCAGCAATTCTTCACACAGTATCTGGGTGGCTCTTTCAAACATGCGATCTCTCTCTCTGGAGGAGTGTCCTTGTTGGGTGAAAGCCTTTTTAAGATTGGTGAGGTGGTGTTCTCCTCAGTGCATCCCATGTGTTCCCCTCACTGCAAATTCGATGGTATCTTAGGGCTTGGCTGTATATCACAGCTTTCTTGGTGTGTTTAGGGTGATTACTGGTTCTGTACAGATATGTATGTTGGCCTGTGGGTTTTCTGTATAATGTGGTCTGTATTTTACCATTCTGGATACTGATCATCGTGTCTAAAAAGGAGATGTTGGTGCTGGAGTATTCAAGGGATATCTGTGCACTCGAACAGCAAATCAGAAGAGGGACCAACTTCTACTGGAGCAGTTGTACTTCAAAAAAGGAGACTAACTCATCACGCCACCACTTGCAAAAGTGAAATGACCCCTGGCAGACAGTCGGGTCCAATGCACAGGTGACACTGGATTCTATTCTTGCATCTGCTGCTCACTGAGCAAATGACCCTAGGCAAATTATTTCTTAAGAAGTGATAATCAGTTCCCCAACAGAAGTAATGCTTACCAAACTCTATAAGTAGTATAAGATGAGTGGAAAAAGAGCATTGTATTAATAAAAGTAAAGAATTACTTACAAATTTCCAGACTGTTGCATTAAAGTAGTACAATAATATCTTTACCAAAAACTAGATGCTAAAGAATAAATTATATGAATGTAAAATGATCAAAAAGACACCAAGATCCAATAGTACAGGAGTTCTCAAACTGTGGGTCATGACACCCCAGAGGGTCATGAGCAATTTAAAAGGGGGCCACAACCTTCCCAGGGGGTACGCATGGTGGCACAGGGAAGCAGTGCATGGCAGCGGCACTGAGTGGTGGATGACAGCAGCAGCTGCCGTGTGTGAGATTCCCATTCCCCGCTGCCACCATCCAGCGCTCAGAGTCGTGGTATCACAAAGTTTGAGAACCCTTACAATAGTAAATCTGTTCAAGGGGGTCAGTATCTTGGAATATAAGTAAAAGACATTGTTTTACACATATTTTCCGTCAGCGCAACACTTGAAGAATAAGACAATTCTTAGAACAGGGCAATTCTTAGAATATATACTCTACAGAGTTGTGACCAAAATATAGCTCATGGGCCAGATCCAGCCCACAGAGCCATCATCCAGCCTGCAGGGCTCTCCATGGGTCTGAGAATTTGGCAGCAGGGGAGCAGTGGCAGCGTTAATTGTTATTAATCCCAAAGCTGCAGCAATTAATGCTACTGCCACTAATCCTGATGCCATGTTTCCTGACCTGTGAGGAGCCCCATGCCTAGATAACAACTCTGCTCTGCATGACAGATGTGACCCATAGGACTGACCTCCCCCAAGAAGGGTGCAAATCTCACTCCCAAAAAAGGATGCAAATCAATTCCTACTCTACTGATAAGCTTTACAGTCAAAACACTCAGCTAATTTAAAGTGGGAGTCCAGCTAAACAAATGATAAAAATGAGCAAATCACATGGTTAAATTTTAGGGTCTAAAGTTTTGTTTGCTAAATATTTTATCAAACATTTAGACAACACATAACATTTTTTATCCTGAGATGAAAAGCCTAAGGATTTGAAAGCAAACTGATGCAATAATGCTACCATGTGGAACAAAAGAGTACAGCATTAAATGTAGCACTATCTAAAAACAGTCATCTCAAGCTTAACTAAAATTACACAATTCATTCAAGACTCATAGAAAAGAAAATTGAAGTAGGTCAATTTCTCAAGTTTTCAGTCTCCTAATACCTTCATGATACTTACTTTCAGAGACTAACTTACATGCTACTAGTTATGCTATTAGCAACCCCCCCCCCTTAAAAAAAAAACAACTGGTAAACAAAATGTTAAACCATATTCAGAAGTGTTTTTGCATACATGCTAAACTTGTTTTCATTTCTTTACAGTCAAATGAAATCGGAAGTTCCACATTAAGAGAAATTTTATGCACCTGTTCTTTATGAACACACAATTTTGTACAGCATTTCCCTCTTACTGGACTATTATCACCAGGAGTGACTAGGAAGTTTAAATCACCAGCTGGAATTCCTCAGCAGAGGAAATTTAAATAAAAACTATTATTTATCCACTAACATTTGTATATGACATGGGGAACATATCCACGTGTGTTTTAAATATATGTATTAATATATTACAAATTTTAGCTATTTAATACATCCTTATTAGCACTCAAAATATTTTTTTTCAAGTGAGGAACCTGTTATACCTCCCCTAAAACTAATCTTTATATACCTTTCTACTCTTCCTGGAAATCCTACACAACATGTAGGATCAGAACATGATGCCGATATGTGCTTGCCTGATGACATCACATTTGACATTAACTCCAGTGGAGCACACATCAGGAAAGGGGGTGCAGTGTTTAATATTTTTTTCCAAAGTCATATTACAGTTAAAATAAATGTAAAACACTGAAAGAAATATGACTTGACTTATCTCTCCATGCAGCAACATATTTGCTATGTCCACCAAAACAACAGTAATCATTAGAAACCTGGATTTAAGAAATTACCAGGGTGGATAAAATTCAACAATTTAAAAGAAAAATAAGTAAAAATCTGATTTTTTAAAAAATTTAATCGCATTCTTTGATTTTTTTGTTAAGATGCTTTTTAAAAAAAAAATCTATATAAGGACAGTTATAATTTAAAATATGTTAAAGATCAAAGATATCATCATGGAATAGGGATTACAGGCAGTCCTCGACTTGCAACTGAGTTAAGACGAACAGCATTTACCACATTAGTAAACTGACACCCTGTTTCAAGGTTCCAATGCAGGTTTCACCTTTACAACGCTTGACACAGCTGTATCCAGTTGCTAAGTCTGCTGGGGGAGGGACATGAGGAGGGCAGATCAACACCCCACAACAAGGGAGGGATTGTAGCTGGGGCAAGCTCCCAGCTGGGGTAGAGGGACGCGGGGAGGGGGTGGGGCAGCTCCTGCCGCTGTGTGCCACAGGTCCGGGAGAGCATGGGGAGGGGGTGGAGCGCGTGCCCCAGATCTGCATGGAGCACGCAGAGCAAGGGCTGCGCTCCAGGCGGAAGAAGCAAGGGCTGCGCTCCAGGCAGAAGCAAGGGCTCTGCCCTTCCACCGCTCTCCCAGCCAGGATTGGGGGGCACGAAACAGAACCACTACACTGCCCCAGAAAAGCAGCATGCAGCAGCAGAAACTGCCCCGGCCTCACTGGGTTTTGCTGCCAGCACTTCTGGTTTCACTCGCTGACCGGCCGCCAGAGGACCCCCTCTCCCCACACTCGACGGACCACTGAGGCATAGGCTGTGGAATGGGGTGGGCCAATTTTTAACATGTTAATTCAGCTAGCTAAGCAATTTTAAAAAATTGCTACACGTTTTTAACCAACATGACAATTGCGCGTTTGTGGGTTATATAAATTAACATGCTAAAAGTTGGTCAGGCCATGGCCCGGGTGGCCCACTCCATTTTGGGGCCTATGCACCCAGGGACTCCCCACTTCTCAACCAGCCGCTGGGGGTACACTGACCAAAAAAAGGTTGAAACATGCCCCTCTTCCCCCCCGAGTTAAATGAGTAGAGGATTGCTGGGAGTAGAATAGACCTGGCCAAAGAGGAGGACTACGGGGATAAGTGCAAGGAGGGAAGGGCAGAAGAAACAAAATAGAAACCTTTGGAGCAGAATATTCCAGAAGCCTTGAGGGATAAGTTTCCAAGTACAGCCTTTCTGCTGATTTGAGATCTAGCGAGGGAATAGTATGGTAGGTTTTCCCTTCTATCATGGCAGCAGGCTTGCCAGGCCATAAGAGACCCTATTTGGGAATATTTTAATGAAGTTCCTCTACCTGTGGGTAAGACAGGCATGCGTGCAAAATGGAAACAGTGCAATAAAGAAATGCAAGGCCTGGTTGCCTGAATGAAACATCATGAAAAGCACTCCTTCTCAAGAAGAAGAGACTTTGGAGATGATGAATAGAACAATGATTAAAATTGAGGCTTCCTGACCAGTAATTTAAATTTTGACTTAAATCAATTTGATTTGAATCAAATCCACCCTGGAAACTACAAAGTCCTGCTGTACAGAAATATCCTCTTACTCAGAGACGTTCAAGATGTACTTGTAGAGTAAATGACTATTTGTTAAGAATCCATAGTTCACCTTCTATAAGACTTCATTAAAAACAAAGTCCTTGCAATTCATATCTGTGATCTCAAACCTACAGCCCTTTGCAAGCAAAACTCTCAGTAAACTTCACCATGTATCATAAGACCCATTCATTTATGCTTTACCGACAAAGCATCCAATTAAGGCACCACTTCTGGTTGGTATGTATGTCCACATATTACACAGACTATGAAAATTTACAGGAGTAAAATTGTTCACTGACTTTAAAGATCCCAATACAAAATTTAAACTCATTCCCCATACTTTTCCTTCTCTCTCTCAAGGTTTTTACCAAATAAAAAAACCTTAAAGAATTCAGAAAATACTTATGTACAATGATTTTCACTACTGCTTTTTTCTGTATGGCTACAGCCATAAATTAGAGTATCTAACTCAAGAATGCAAAAAGAGGTTTTAGATTGTTCTTAAACAGTGATTAATGAAAGAACAGGGAATTAGAAGACTTAGATTAAGTAGGCACAGAAAGAACTAAAGAAAAGAATGTATTTTTTTTAATGTAAAAAAACCTTAGTTCTTCAAAATACCTATCACCCACATGAATCTACTGCAGAGAAGAACAGCCATTACTGATTTTTAAAAAGTTATTGAAGGCAGACAATTAAATAACTTACCTTTTTAAAAACTTTTCCAGAAGGCTGGATTTCATCTTCCTCTTTCAAGACTTCCCTTGTTCCCAGGAGCGTTTTGTCCTTGAATTTAGTTTTAGCATACTTGAAAACTTTGTCAAGCGTATCACATCCAGGATATAAAACTGAAGCTAAGCAATGCACGCTGTTAACAGATCTGTATGCACTACCAGGCTGGTTATTCACAGGTTTAGCTTTAATTTGCTTTGATTTTGCAATAGCTTGTCTTGAGCCAGATAATATGTACCATGGAATATATGTTATAAATGAATACACCAAGATTATAAAGTTTATGAAATGAAGAAGAACAGGATTGATGGTATGCTTTAGCTTCATTTTGGCTATTTCCAAAATGTGTAAGTCACAAGGAGAGTTGATTACATGGAGAACAATGAAGATCTGAAAGGGAAAGAAAAAGTGAAAAGTTAGGCTTTCAGAAGTTAGCTGATAGTCCTATTTAAATATATATTTTTATTATTAGTTTCTGATTAAAAAAAAAAAACAAAAACTTTGAGGGGAGCAGCACATCAATTTACTCATTGAATAGTTTAAGATAAACATCTACAACATTTTAATTTCATATTATAATATTTTTCATATAACATCTTGGATTAATTCCTGCCCAATTTTTCTGACAGCAGCTAATTTAGCCAATCATAATATCATGAGATCCATGCCTAGAGCTTAACTTGCAAACTTCAACTCCTTCACCAGTGAGCTATCAACCTTCCTAAAAGCTTGAGTAGCAACATTCGCTGCTCCCCACACATGAATTATAATAAAAAACCCCAAACCCAAAACCTAATTCATGAATAAATCACCCAAGTCCATTAAAAGCTGTATTTGGTGGACACAGCAAAGATCTGCTCCATGGATCCCAAAACAGGTGCATTGAATTCCTTTGTAGGATCCTGTCGGCAAAGGAATGTAACTGTTTTCTATATGTGAATATACTCCATGACATGACAGGATTTCATTCTTAGTTACTGTATACAAAGAGTGCATTTGTATTATAAACATGGCATTTGACATAACGATAAAAGATGGAAATTCTAACCACACCATTCCAAACTCAGAATAAAACCCTGGTCCATTAAGAAGTCAACAGAACTTTTATCACTGAACAAAAACCTAGTCCCATTTAAGCCCGGTGTGGTTCTTTTTTAATATACATCATTTTACTGCTATTATAGAATCATAGAAAATTAGGGTTGGAAGGGAACTCAGGAGGACATCTAATTCAACCCTCTGCACAAAGCAGGACCATCCCCAACTAGATCATTCTAGACAGGGCTTTGTCAAGCCAAGCCTTAAAAATCTCCAAGGATGGAAATTCCACAACCGCTCTAAATAATTTGTTCCAGTGCTTCACCACCTTCCTAGTGAGAAAGTTTTTCCTAATATTCATCCTACATCTCCCTTGCTGCAACTTGAGACCATTGCTCCTTGTTCTGTCATCACTGAGAACAGTCTAGCTCCATTCTCTTTGGGACCTCCCTTCAGGTAGTTGGAAGGCTGCTATCAAATCCCCTTTGTCTTCTCTTCTCTAACCTAAATAAACCCCGTTCTCAGCCTCTCCTTGTAAGTCATGAACCATTTTCATTGCTTTCTGCTGGACTCTCTCCAACTTGTCCACATCCTTTCTATAGTGGGAGGGTGGGGCAAAACTGGACACAATACTCCAGATGTGGCCTCACCAGTGCAGAATAATTGCTTCCCTCCATTTCCTGGTAATGATCCTACTAATATAGTCCAGTATGCTGTTAGCCTTCTTGGCAACAAGGGCACGCTGCTGACTCATATCCATCTTATTGCCCACTGAACCCCCCAGGTCCTTTTCTGCAGAGCTGCTACTTAGCCAGTCAGTCCCCAAGCTGTAGAGGTGCATGGGATTCTTCTATCCCAAGTACAGCACTTGCACTTGTCCTTCTTGAACCTCATGAGATTTCCTTTGGTCCAGTCCTCCAATTTGTGTACATCATTCTGAATCCTATTCCTATCCAGTCTGTCAGCTACACCCCCTAGGTTGGTGTCATCCTCAAACTTACTGAGGGGGCAGTTCATCCCATCTTCCAGACCATTAATGAAGATGGGCCAGGGGGGCAGGGAACGGAGGTCCCCACACCTGTCCCACAGGCGCCTGTCTTAGGGTCTTGGAGGGGCAAGTGAGGGAGCTCCAAGAGGAGGTTAGCAGGCTAAGGGGGATCAGGGAAGCAGAAGACAAAATTGACAGGTATTTCCTTTCCCTGCAGGGCCAAGCACCAAAGGAAGAAGAGCCCTAGGAGGTACCCTCCACAGCAGAATGGCAGAAGGTCCCCTCCAGAGCCAGGGCTGCTCATGGTGGTGCAGTACCAGCTTCCCCAGTCCAGCTGGGGAACAGGCATGAGGCCCTGGCGACACTGGAGTAAGAGGAAGGTGAGGAGGCAACCTCTGTTGAGGAGGTCACTCCACGCACAGAACAGGCTTAAGGAGGCAAGCTGACCCGAAGAAGAGACACCAGGTACTCGTCATAGGCGACTCCATCCTGAGAGGAACAGAGGGTCCGATCTGTCGCCAGTATCCCATGACTCACGAGGTCTACTGTCTGCATGGAGCGCAGATTCAGAACATGACGGAGATGATCCCAGCCCTCATCTGGCCCACTGATTACTACCCCATGGTCCTAATCCATGTGGGCACTAATGATGTGGCCAGGAGCAGTCTAGATCACCTGATGAAGGACTACCAAGCTTTGGGTGGCAAGCTAAAGTAGATAGGGGCACAGGTTGTCTTCTCATTGATCCTTCCAGTGAGTGGACGTGGAAGATGCCATGAGACCTGCATCTCAGATGTCAACTTGCGGCTTCGGGAGTGGTGTCTCGCAGCGGGCTTCGGCATTCTGGACCACGACCCACACTTCAAAACAAGACATGCTCGGGTGGGATGGGCTCCACCTCTTCCCCCAAAGGTAAGCGCGTGTTCTCTTTCAGGTTGGCTGATCTCCTCCGGTGGGCTTTAAACTAGGCTCGTCAGGGGAAGGGGAGGAAGAGGACCAAGGGAGCCACGGAACACCGAACCAGAAGACACCCTCAAGAACAGCCCAGCCAAGACAAGTGATGACCACAAAAAATACCCAGGTAAGACACAGGGGCGCAGATAGTCCTGGGATTGGGTGGAAGGCGCATACACCCTCAGGAGGCCTTAAATGCCTCTACACTAATGCTCGTAGTATGGGGAGCAAGCAGGAGGAACTTGCCCTCCTGCTAGCTAACACATACCTGGACATAGTGGGGCTCACTGAAACTTGGTGGGATCCAACACACAACTGGGTGGTAAACATCAAGGGCTATAGGCTGTATAGGTGGGGTAGAACAGGGAAGAAAGGTGGGGGTGTGGTGCTGTATGTCAAAGAGCAACACACATCCTCTGCAAACAGCATTGGGTCTGAAGTAGGGCAAACTGAGGTGCTCTGGGTCAGAATACAAGGGGGTCGGAGGGAAAGGGACCTAATGGTGGGGGGTCTACTATAGGCCACCTAACCAGGGGGAAAAGCTGGACCGGGAATTCTCTGGTCAGCTCGTGGAAGCAGTCAAGTCAAGGGACGTGGTCATCATGGGTGACCTAAACTATCCGGACATCTGCTGGGAAAAGCCAAATTACAGTACCTCCACCTAACCCATGAGGTGCACAGTCCCACCAGGGGAAATGCCTTGTTGGACCCGGTCCTGGCCACAGGCAACGACCTGGTGAGGGGACTGCAGGTGCTTGACCACCTGGGCGATAGCGATCATCGCCTACTGGAATTCACCATCCAGTGCAGGGTGTCAAAGGCCCACAGAAGACAGCAGCCTTGGACTTCAGGAGGGCGGATTTCAATGAGGTAAGGAGACGAGTCAGGGAGGCACTGAGGTCTCAGAGGGGAGGGGAGTTGGGAGTCCAAGAAGAGTAGTCATTCCTTAAGGAGATGATCCTCTCCAAGCCGAAAGGGTGACAATCCCCACGTGGATCAAAGGAGGTAAGAGCGCTCAAAAGCCCCCGTGGCTCACCAGAAGCACCCAGGAATGTCTCAAAGCCAAAAAGGCAGCGTACACCCAATGGAAGGGAGGGGCCATCACCAAGGAGGAGTATACCTCCATTACTCGAGATTGTAGGGGGGCTGTTAGGAAGGCTAAAGCAGAGATGGAACTGGGACTAGTGACCCGGAAAAGGATAACAAGAAGTCCTTTTTTAAATACATAGTGGGTAAAAAGAAGGTACCAAGTAATGTGGGGCCTCTGCAGGACACGCTTGGTAAACTGGTGGTAGCACCAGGCGACAAAGCTAATCTCTTTAACAGTTTCTTTTCTTCCATTTTTCTGAGCAGGGACAGGGACATCTCCCCCCCCCCGGGAATCTGGACAGACCCAAGGGAGGTGCAGCCAGGCCCAGGGTTAGTGAGGACCTAGTCAGGGAACTTCTGGAGGGACTAGATATGTTCAAATCAGCAAGTCCTGACAATCTCCACCCCACAGTGCTGAGGGAATTAGCAGGGGTCATTGTGGGACCCCTGGCACAGCTTTACCAGCACTCGTGGTGCTCTGGCGAGGTGCCGGAAGAATGGAAAAGGGCCAGTGTGGTCCCCATTTTCAAAAAAGGGAGGAAAGAGGAGCCAGGAAACTATAGGCCCGTTAGCCTTACCTCGGTCCTGGGGAAGCTGTTTGAGAAAATGATCCAGGATCACATCTGCAAGGGACCAGTAGGGGAGATTATGCTTAGGGGCAATCAACATGGGTTCATTAGAGGCAGGTCTTGTCAGACCAACCTGGTGGCCTTCTATGACCAGGTCACAAAAGCCTTGGACGCAGGTGTCACAGTAGACATAGTCTTTCTGGATTTTAGGAAGGCCTTTGACACTGTCTCTCACCCCATTTTCATTAAAAATGAGCGACTGTGGTGTCGATGCCTACACAGACAGATGGGTCATAAATTGGCTGGAGGGACGCACCCAGAGAGTGGTGGTGGACGGGTCATTTTCGACCTGGAGGGATGTGGGCAGTGGGGTTCCCCGGGGCTCGGTCCTCGGGCCCGCACTGTTCAATATCTTCATCGGCGACTTGGACAAGGGGGTGAAAAGCACCTTGTTCAAGTTCGTAGATGACACTAAGATGTGGGGAGAAGTGGGCATGCTAGAAGGGAGGGACAGGCTGAAATTGAATCTGAACAGGTTACAGAGGTGGGCGGATGAGAATACGATGGGTTTCAATACGGACAAGTGCAAGGTATTGCACCTGAGGAGGAAAAAACAGCAGCATATCTACAGACTGGGGAACTCCCTTCTTGTCAGCACAAAGGTAGAAAAGGATCTTGGAGTCACTATTGATTCCAAGATGAACATGGGCCGCCAATGTGGGGACGTGGTCAGGAAGGCTAACCGCACCCTGTCACACATCCATAGTTGCATCACGAGCAGGTCCAAGGAGGTGATCCTCCCCTTCTATGCAACATTGGTCAGGCCGCAATTGGAGTACTGTCTCTCCAGTTCTGGGCGCCGCACTTCAGGAGGGATGTGGATAGCATCGAGAGGGTCCAGAGGAGGGCCACTCCCATGATCAGGAGGCAGCAGGGTAGGTCCTATGAGGAGAGACTACGGGACCTGAACCCGTTCAGCCTCCACAAGAGAAGGCTGAGAGGGGATCTGGTGGCCACCTACAAACTGGCCAAGGGGGACCAGCAGGCAATGGGAGAGTCCCTGTTCCCCCGAGCACTACCAGGAGTTACAAGGAATAACGGCTATAAGCTGAGAGTAGGTTCAGGCTAAACATCAGGAGGCACTACTTCACAGTCAGGGTGGCTAGGAGCTGGAACCAACTTCCTAGGGAAGTGG